CGATCGAGCAGATCACACTCATCCGCCGAATCAACCAACCAGGATAACACACCACTGATCGGGTTGTTACCGAATCTGATGCGCGTTGGTCGTTTGTTCCTGGAAGGGCTACTCAAAGGTGCAATGCCCCTGTTCACCACCCTATTCCGGTATGTAATACTTTTTCCGGGTGCAAGGGATTGAAGTGTGCTTTTATTGTCATGTATCGATTCAAAATGTAAGCAGATCTACTTGTTTTGGCTGGTTGTCACAAACAGTGGCGCTCCTGCATCCAATCATTATTCTCCTATCACCACTCTGTATGAATTCTCCATCTTCCGCTTGAATTTGCTTTCAACATTTCAATCTTCATTCTGCTCTTTTATGCAACTGGGACACCAAAAGATAGCATTCAAAACTGGTGCACGAAAGTGCATAGGTAATGTCTGTACAGACTGAAACTGGGGTTTATTGGCCAGCTGCCCCGGGTGAACTGCCAGGGGTTCGCGACCAGGTTATATCCCTGGCTATTAGTTTTTCGTCGTCTCAGTTTGGTGGGAAAACGGCTCGACCGTGGGAAGGCAGTAAGCAGGGCTTCCTCAGTGTTGTCTTGATTACCTTGGGCTTTTTAACATCTACCGCGTGATTTGGCAAGCATCGCACGCCATAGCGTGGTGTGTTCTATGCCCCAACCGTCGCAGTCTATGAATGTCAGGTACCACTGGTTACACTGGACAACCTTCCCCGTTAATTTAAAACTGATCAGAAAGGAAATGCGGAGGTATTTGAGGTTTTGTACTGGGTTATCGCCGCGGGTTTCCTAAATTTCAAATCGTTTCTTAGCATTTTAGCACTCGTGATAACCGACAACCTAAGTCTTGGAGTGATGAGCCACGTAGGGGATGAGGTGGGGGAGGAGGAACAACTCGGACAGATATCGTATTGATGCAGTCGTCAGTGAAGCCCATCTGTCGTCTTGTTCACTGGAATCGTTCAACCTTGAGATGGAGCAGTCAATCCTGAACTCGATCAGTTGCCTTCCTCCTATTTATTCGTCTCTCAAGATCTCTCTCTCTGTCTAGCATCTCCTCTTTATCATTATCCCAGCTCCTCGTCACCCATTTCCAAATCACATGACTCAACAACCACTTTTTCCGATTGAACCTACGTAGTTATGTAATTATGTCCATGCACTTCTCAAAACAGTCCAACCTATTCAATGTGCATAAACAGCGGATTGAGAGCGTGTGAAATTGATGGCCAATGGGAATTCTGTGTTAATTGCATCGATTCAGATGCCCGTTTCACTCAATGTTACTGAGTTTACTTGGTTGAACCACGCATCAATATCAACCGAAATGCTTGTATGAACAGGACGGATTGCGACCGAAACACACAACACCACTACCACGGTGCTGCCGGCAAGACCCACCATTTGTCATCCCGGTCAGTCTGGTACCGAGTACGGATGGTGGACAAATGAAAATCACGACTATAACCGAAATTTATCGGTGCAGTTTATTATCTACGGCATATTCATGTGCGATACGTTTCGGTCGCTGCGTATCTCCCGCGTGGTCTAGCGGTTAGGATTCCTGGCTTTCACCCAGGCGGCCCGGGTTCGACTCCCGGCGCGGGAGCTTACCTTTTTTCTTCACTTTGTTTTTACTGCGCACTGGGCCTTTTGTGGGGGTGTTACCGTTACTGGGAACCACTCGGGCAATCATTGAGAGGAATTTCCTAATGAATACATCACTCTTTCGTGTTAAATGTGCAACGTGGAGATTTTAGTTCATCTCGGTCAAGTCAAGTTAGGTGAAAAATCGCTTTATTCATCCTAATGGATGGATTCTCCGTTTCTAAAAGGGAATGATCGCAACAGCCGGTCATCCATACAAGTACTAACCGGACCTGACATTGCTTAACTTCAATGATCAAACGATAACCGGTGTTTGGTATGGTCATGGCCACCGATTCGTAATACACGGTAGGAAGTTGATTTCGGTTAACAAGATCCGAGTTTCACGGTGCCAATAGCGCTGTCAGAATGCTGCAACCCAAACCCCACTTTGGAGCTTCGAACTAACTCGTAAACGCTACCCAGCACAGACACTCTCAATGCACAGATAGCAAAAACACTTCGGACAACAGGTTGGATGGGGGTTGGGGTGGGTGAGATCTAAACAACCTGCAAGACAGGGAAAATCCAAAACGCAACCATGAACCAAAGGGTCCAACGAGAGACATCCACACACGACTCTTACTCACTCAATCCAAAATGGTGGTGACGTGCTCAACGTGCCTAGCGTTATAGAATGTTTCAAAACACTGGGTAATTATTACACTGAGCTGTTGTTTTTCATGGGCAACATGGGCAAATTTGTCCGGTTTATTGCCAATAGGTGTCACTGGTTCATCTCTTGTTGTGAACCGTGTTCCTCAATGACATGTCTGACTGAAAACGCATCTCGACGAAGTTGGAGTTGTCCCGTACAGATTGACAAAACTGAATACAGTCGTGGACATCCAGTGTCAAATGTCACCGTTGGGCTGTGTTCGGTTGAAATTTAAATAAGGAAGATTTTCCATGGGTTGAAAGTCGATGAGTCGAAACACTGTTACCCGTGATACAATTTATTCCTTACGTTTCTCCTGCACGTGTTTTGAGATGATGTTGTGCTATACCAATCCATTTCCACTTCCTTCGATCCTAGGTCCTTCACCGACAATATTGGTCAAACTCAGCAATTCTTCTCCTTATCGGGAGTAATCTTAAACCCTAGTAAATATGCTAAGCGTTTATATAGTTTTGCACGCTCCTCATATCCGAAAGACCCCACAGTAATTAATAACAATCCTTTATCCAGGGTGAACTCTGTCAAATATCTTGGTGCAACTACAAATGGGAACCTGCGTTGGTCAATTCACATCCACAACTGCATTTGTAAACTGCGGCATCTATCATTTCAAATTCGAAAGCTGAGGCAGTTTTTACGCATCCCAGTCAGTTGAAACAATTATTTTCGGAAATGAACTTGTAAAAAGGACACAACCTTTGTGCATCACTGTGTTTCCCCTCATCTTACTTTGTTGTGCCCCGGTTACTTTTTCTGGCTTACTCAAACAGGATTTCAAAGCCGCGGTCTAACTATGATTACCCGTGTTTCTTCTATTCCTGTGAATGAGTTAGCTGTGTCGCTTTTAGAGTATCATACAATTTCCTGTGTGAAATTTGCGGAGAGGATTCTCGTGTACTCTAACCGCCTACTGTACGCGAAACCTACACGTTTCCGTTCCCACCCATCCACGCTCTGAGTTCCACCAAATGACATCCGGTATGAACACCCAGACCCCATCCTACAAGTTTACTCACATTCAAATTTCATGACACGAGGAGGCCTTCACCTGTCCCGTGTCCTGGTGATGGCGTGTTCTATCCGGGATCTGTTTCGTCTGAGAGTTGGTTTTGTTATCAGTTTATCTGTTCCGCAATTGTCTGGAATTACAGAACATGAACAAAGAGAGGGAAACAAGTGAACTTTGTCTTAACTGTCGACTCTGAAATATCCCTATGAGGTGTGCAAACATTTTCCCCCTCTGAAAACATCTTTATTCTGGGTTAATCAATCAGAGGAAGGATGAGAGAACTCAGGTGATTGACCGAAACTGCCAACCGATCAAGGTGGTTCACAGCACTCCAATCGACCAATTGTTCGATATATTCATCCCCATTTCCTTTATCTTCTCTATCAATAACTCATTTTTACATAATAGATGATTCCCTGCACGCTTCCAGCTTTGTTCTATCTCACTGTCTGTGGGGTTCCTACTTGCGAGAGAAACGCTACGAGAGGAGGATTCTTTTAAGAATCCAGTATCGAGTTAAATCCTTCGCGGTTAAAACAAGCCTGTATAGTTTTTTTCTAACTGAAATGTCAGCTTACAAAAGTTACAGAATAGAATACAATATGGATGATTGGGTTGTGCCCAGCAACCCGTTGGTTTCGTGAATTCTGGAATTTTGGTATAAAGCGCTGGTTGGACATGTTACTTGGTCCGTAGGTGAATCAATCTGTGAATATCTGGATGAGGTCCAATACCGCATGTGGTTCAATTCCCCTATCCAGCGATTTATTGATGCACCTTCGATACAGTTTTTCGCCCGTTGCACATTTACCACAAAATTGTTATACTACTCATGATTAGTCAATTAATAATTGTGAAATTCAGGTTTAAGCCGGTAGCGTGCCGATTACAGTCGATCAATGAATGTTGTGATCTTTGTTAATGACGGTTTTCGATATTCTCGTTATACAGACGGTTTGTTGACGGATGATGATGATGATGATAACCTGACTGTCTTAATAATTTGTTTTTGTGCTCACCTAAGGAGAGGAGTGTTCCGCTGTATGGTGGTCGCCTACGTCACGGACAGTTGACTTTGAAAAGCAGCCCGTTAATGATATAACCACGGAATGTTTTAATTAGATTACCTCTCGTCTATATGTGTTTCAATCACCAGTTCTATAACCCGTCCACATGTGCTCGATCATCTGACGACCGATTATGTAGCTTGAGCCACAGGCAAGTTTCTCCAAGAGACTGAAGCCACGATCCAAAATCTCCCGAAAATAAGAAATACAATAATGTGCTTAATCTGTGTATATCTGAACACCTGGGGAAATTATGGACTTTTTCTTGTTTATAAAGAATCTCGTGCCATGATTTGTTTGGCACACAGTCAGATTTCGGGTGTGTGAAAATAAATATGACAAATAACAAGCTGTGGAAACAAATGGGCGGTAAACTGTAAGGCCAGCCTCTTGCACGGCTGGAGCGGATGCAGAAAACACCACGAGAGCTTAGACAACATTTATATTTACATAAATCGTGGTTCTATAGAAAAAGGATATCAATCAAATAACGATAAATTCAACGAGACTCGTCTAAGTTTTTCGACGCCGGCGTACGGACCAGTTGAGACGTGGTGGTACGGAATGAAATGTAAAATTGTAAAACAGTCAAACCAAAACAGAAGTGAACACTTATAAACACAGAAAAACAGAACAGTAGCCAGCGGTTACTGAATAAATAATCGTTCTTGGCTTTCTGTCATTTGGATTGAATATTCAATGCAGTGCGCTTCGTAGATTTTGTCATTTATATTCATACTACTCAAATGTTTATAGTAGTCAAATTGCAAATGCTGAAAAGACCATAATTCCCATTGGGATAGTTTGCACAAGGTCATAGATAGTCTGTGGGAAAAAAATTGAATATAGGTGAAAAGATGGACTGATAGATGTAATTTTCTGTTTGTTCATGAGGAAGACACTCCGATATTAGAACATGTCTCAAACACTTGACTACTTTCCGCCTGTCTGCTGTTAAATAATTTTTACATAATACGTTGCTAATAATACTACCTCTTTTTTATTACAAGTGCCGCTTATTATTTGTTTCTTGCCACTTATTGTCGCGGTTTAAAACTGTCATCATTTTTCTGTTTCGGTTATCGGTTTGACGGATGATTCTATCATAGACTTTGTGCAGTAGTTTTACAACCAGAATGGCATTCTCTGTTGAATTCCTTCCCCATTCCACCATCTCTTCGTCGTTGTCGCATTCTACGACTGATGTTGTCTTCAGAAACACATGTGTGCGTGTTCTTCTCGAACCACCATGGATTTCCCCGCTCTTCGCGGGAGCTCGATCCTAGTATTGATTGACCGGATTTACTCTTTCCCTTTTTCAAGATTTCCTTCTTCATTTATTGGCGATCTGTTTGTGTATATTTATGTGACTGTGTTCGTTGGAATCAACTGGTTGCTGTTGAGCATTTTTGGGGATTAAATTATTCGGAAACGAGAATAAAATTCTCTCTGAGCGTTGCATTAGGGGACATATTTTATGTATTTTCGAAAATCTGCATCTACCTACTCTTGAGTAGCTGAGCTCTTATAGTGGTAAACCGCCACCTAAAGAAAGACTGCACATCTGTCTTTTTTCATGCTTTCACACGTTTTCAGCTTGTTCGATACTTATTAGGTTTTTCAGCTCTGTCTGCTACTAGATGGCTTCTTAGTCATCTGATCGTAACCTTTGGTTTATTGCATACTTCATGCCACCCGGTATTTCTAATGTTGTACCCGGGGTGCACAAGGCGATTCCTTTGCTTGACTGACGAACTAAAGATTGTCACTGTTTTTGAAACTGACGGAAAGTCGTTGACGTAAAGGGAACATCGTTTAAACCTTCTCCATATGATAACATTATGACGATCAGCTGCGCATACGATCGCCACTCCTCATTTCCTAATCAAGCCTGTGCAATATCAACATTTGTGGCAAATCAAATGTTTCAACTTTCGTTGACCTTAGAATGTATTTCGATAACTTTTTTATCTGACCCGCCTGCAGTGACATGACTATAGAATTTGCGCGTCGAGGGTAAAGAACTACGGGTCGTGGCTAAAGCATTGCGGGTTTGGGCAAAAACGTGATGGGTGCAGCTGCAGCTTTCACTAATGGAATATAGTCAAGCTTGTGATTAGGGTTATGCCTAATCCATATTCGTCATGGGAACTGCATACCGATCGATGAGTGTTTTGTTGGAAACTGCTTGTTCGTAAATATTTCTCCAGTTTCATTTTTTCTGATAAGCTATTATGTGATAAACAGTAGGCGATAGACTGAACTAAAGCGGACTCACATGCGGCAACCTGATCCGTGAGACTGGGGGAGTGACATCAAGTGGTAAAGTTCACCAACTTACCGCCCGGGAGCACCTGTTATCGAATCCCGTCACCAGCGTTCGGTTTGCATCATTTTCTGTCTGTTTTACGGCAGCCTTGTGATTGATCTTTTCCTCGATTCCGGAAAATTGTATCGTTGTATATTGAATAAAATGAAGTAAAATAAAAAGACGAAAGTTAAGCCACAATAGAGACCACGGGTTCTCTCATCGATTTTCCCAGATTCTTACAACATCACTTGGCGTGATGAGTTCTTCGCTGAAATAACAGAGGTGAACTAGTACACCAGACGGTACAGACACGGAACTCGTTTCTCGGCTATCGGTTCATGAGCATTCCGCTTGTTGGTTGACAAGACAGATAATTTCGACGCGTTCAACCTATTTTTTACCACAATTTTGTGTATGTTCTGCTTCATCGTTTCAGAGGGCGAGGCGGATGATCCTTGAACAGAGATAAAACAAAAGCTCTCTTTGGTACTATAATGTTGTGGCACTGTCCTCAAAACATCCTTGATAACTGTGTCCTCTAATCTCTGCATCCGTAATATCATTACTACGTACGGTTCTAGCGACGGACTCACTGGGTACTGGACTGTTTCGTTGAAGCCTAATCGCGGTGCATAAAATTGTGCCGTAATCGGTTCCAAACAATTTTGTCTTGATCATCTTTAAGCATCGTTGATCATTTGTGTCAGCGGTTATATTCCCTCATTTAATCCCTGAGAGTTGTGCTCAACACTCTGTATTCCCCCCTTTTCCAATACATTAGTTATCGCGGGATAGAGGTAACCACTTTGTTGCGCAATACGCAATCACTCACGCGATTCTTACAACGTGTTTGCACCCATGCCAAGGCCTACCGGAATGCTCGATTGGCCAATCAGATTCCATCTACACGCCGTTGTCTGGAAACGTTTGTGTATCGTGTAAAAGTGAGTCATCCTTTGGTAGTCGTTTGCCACTAAAGATTCTCTCGTCACATGTGAATCGATGTGACATAGAAGTCACCAAGTGTTGTATATTTAACACTAACAATATTGATAGTTGTTGTGGCCCACAAGTCACTGGTACGTTTGTCGCGCTTGTCAGTAACCGGATTGATTGTTTGATTGATTGGTTTGTTGACTGTTTGAATGCCAGTTTGACGGCACAGATATTGTGACGTGTGAGTCAGTGTTGTCCCGCTTGCTCACCGGTCTATGGACTTCCAAATGTTGTAGGTTTAGCATCATTATCATCATCATCATCGTACAGCGATATACAGTGACGCGATCACTGCCAAGGTCACAATGTACATAAATCAAGTGATAAAGTACAAGTATGCGAGGGAGGCTTAATTGGAGTCTCTCCAGTGTCTCAGTGTCTCCAACGAACCAGTTGCAGAGTCTTTCGGAACCCATCTTGGAAGACGGGAGACACCGATTCTGCCTAATCACTGGGTGTATTTATTCATGCCTCGTTTCCACGTCATCTGTTGACCTCCACGCGGTTTCTTTCAATCTGGAGCCGCAACTGCGAATAAGGTGCGGTGCGGTAGACGATGGCTGGGCATGCCCAATGCGTGTCCTAATATGCGAAGCCGACTATCTGAATTCCATGGGACAAAAAATTCTCCATCGAATCATTACCAAATACGCGACAACTTATCTCAGCGTTGCTTACACGCTCGCTTCATTCAACGCGCTCCAAACTTCGTAAACATCAGTAGTTTAAGACTTCTAGACGGCGAATATCTTCCACGCGCAAATCTAAGGTCTCGCAACCATACAGCAGAACTGACCGCACACCGACGCAGTATACAGGATCTTTCAGATTCAGTGAAACAATGCTTCTGCACCAAAAATGTTTCAGTCCTGCATAAGCTGCTCGAGCCTTGGAAGTGCGGGTGGTTACTTCATTGACTATGCTACCGTCATTTGTAACGCAGCTACCTAAGTAGGTGAAACATTCCAATACAGCTAATTCTTGACCATCAAGCATCAGCGCCGGGTAGATGACATCCAGCCTTATAACATCACTTTGCACTTATATTTAGCTCCAGTAATATTGATAGTATTACAAAAATCCTACAGTAGATGGACAGTATTGATAATCATGCCTGCTAAATTTTGGTTGGCATCAGATCACCGTGATATCTTTTACGGAGAAACAACAATGTTTTAGCGTAGTTCTTCCATGATGCTTGTTGTTTGTACCAGTTTATCAGTTGTGGTTCGCCTATTTTTGTCGCGATACGGGAGCGTTCACCGTACGCGTCATCTGTCCTCCGTGATGAGGCTGCAGATGTGAATGCCGGCCGAACAAAATATAGCCACACTCGATGCGGGCGTTCTCGAGGCCCTCGTACTATTTTCGTTTTTTTCCCGTAATTTTTATTTTATCGATCAACCGTGATTTGATTCGCACACACACACACACACACTCCACATTCCGACCTTGTTACTAATGCCCTTATCCTACTCCCCTCAAACAAACTCGTTTGTCCGTTTGTTCAAATCGCTATCAACTGTTCTCACTGTAGTTGCACTTCAGGTTAGTCTCATTCTTCTCGCAATGCATAGTTACTTTCAGCCTAGGTTTACCATTTCTGGTGTACCGACTGGTATTGGTGTTTGTCTAAGGCCTTGTTTCACCCTCAGTCATTCGATGCTTTAGTTACGTTTAAATTCACACTCTTCTGCATTCTTTCCTCGATCGGATTCAGCGCAGAGCTATCAACTATTAAACTCTCATTTTTAGTTCATCATATCTAGAGCATCTTTTCCTACCTTTTCTCAACTCTTGCAACTTTATCACCGTCCCTGTGGGTGCTTCTGCTGCCCCCTGTTCTTTCATCACGTGGCGGGACACAGTTTGCTAGCTACGCACACTATACCTTTTCAACGTCAAGTGAATCCGTTGTAACTTCAAGTGAATCCAACCAATCGCACTGCATTGGAAACCCCAACAAGATGATTGGTGTTTCAGCCGTCAAATGTCACCGGTTGGACCGGGTCTGTCTAAACGCCCTCCAGTTCGAATGAACTCACTTCTCGGTAAACAAATAAAAGTACATTTTCCTCCAGTTACCGAGCAAGGTTGAATGTTTCGGTAGGGTGGTGGGTGGGTCGAGGTGGGCCGTTCTCTCCCCGCCACCCATACACACCCGTTCTACTCGGGAACGTTATGTTCGTGATCGTTAATCGANTTCATATGCCACGAAAATGCAAACGCGAACAAACCAAACGGGAAAGTAAGTGCGGCCACATTGTTTTGGGTTAATTACTATGCCTTTTCAACTTCAAGTGAATCCAACCAATCGCACTGCATTGGAAACCCCAACAAGATGATTGGTGTTTCAGCCGTCAAATGTCACCGGTTGGACCGGGTCTGTCTAAACGCCCTCCAGTTCGAATGAACTCACTTCTCGGTAAACAAATAAAAGTACATTTTCCTCCAGTTACCGAGCAAGGTTGAATGTTTCGGTAGGGTGGTGGGTGGGTCGAGGTGGGCCGTTCTCTCCCCGCCACCCATACACACCCGTTCTACTCGGGAACGTTATGTTCGTGATCGTTAATCGAGTGTGCGTCATAGATACGAATGAACGAACCCGGAGTTAACTGATCTCTGTCGCTCCGGTAAGGAAGCGAATCATATCAAGATGGATCAATAATTCGATCACCATGTCCAGACGTGAATATGAGCATGATTCTTTGTATGATTGGAGTCAGTCTAGGCCCACAATGACCCAATCAGTAAATTCCATTGAATCCGAGATACTCGCGAATAAAATCGATTCCTTTGAATCAAATGCGATTGCTTACGTATTTCTGACATTGAAATGCACACTTCACAAGATACCTAACAATGGTAACAATAGTAAAATAAGTAACATTATTTCACCTGAATAGTGGGGTCGAATTTGAATCTATTCACTAGCTAACAGAAATCATATTGTTTCTGTCATTCCCTGGCTGATTAACACATTTAATCCGCAATGCCAATGGCAACAATCTGTTACCTGCGGCTTCTCCCATCGCTATTCAGCTTCATCGCATAGGTTTTTATCTTCATTATATCGTTGCTCAACCCGTCGCATCTTTTCACACACTGGTTATATTTGTGCCATCTTTATAGTTTAATGAATGAGACAGGTGGTGATATGAATGAGTTACAGTTATCCATGATCCTACAAGCGATGATAACTCTTTACCGGGTGCTCCATGAGGTATTAAGTAAAGGTCGGCAAAATTTTCTACCCACGGTTGTCTTTTAATACTGAATGTGTAATAAGGTAAGGTCAAGGTTCCGTGGCATCGTGGATGCCACTTGACGGTATATTTTCCTTATGTGTGTTACCACGAAAAACTGTGTAAACGATCTACCTATCATAAAGTTGAAGAGCAGTGACATTTTTTCTACTCTGAACTGGGCTGGGCGGTGATGTAGACATTTCACATTATTACTCAACTTCTCTGTAGTCACTGGCGTCATCCGGATTATATTCATTCCGCTCTGAATCAGCGCGGTTTGTAGAAAATAGTGCATTTTTTCACAGATACCTGCCGGTTTTAATTTAGCGGATTAAGATGATTGATTTGTTCGCACGATTACCAAACACTCAAACTTCAGTCAAACCAAATCTGTTTTGTCATCTTTCATTCAGTCAATCTTGTAATGATTGATAACTGTGAGATGTCTATAACGAACAACGAAAGGTCGAAACAGAGCGGTTGGCTTTCCGCACCAGCTCCTCAATGGCAGCTGAATTTTTTTCTCAACAATGTGTTTCCAGGTTAGTGAATCACCGGATATGGCACGAACAGATCATTAGGTATTGTGTCATATCAGTGAGAACAGAGTAGAAACTTTGCTGTTACCTTGGCCATAATAGTGATTACCCTGTGTGACACCTTTTACATTCTCCTCATTTCCTCATGGATTGCCTTTTTCCCACATTTTCACACTTGTTTCATTCATTCTTGTCTAAAATTTCTCATATCATGTTCACTTCACACTCGTTACCTGGCTTTTCCCTATCTATCCTGATCCGATAGTTTGTTGTCCACTGAACATTTTGCACATATTCATTCACTAACAGCTTAAGCGAATAAAAGGGTGGTATGGCTGACGACGGGTGGGCATACGCAATACGTACCCTAGCCAGCGAAGCCTACCAGTCTGAATTCGATGAGCTGGCCGATTCATCCCTGATAAACACCCAAATATATGACTGCTTATCTCCAGAATACTGGTTTGCTCCATTCCGCTCGGGCTAAACTACGTAAACACCGACAATCAAAATACATCTACGAAAAAATGGAATTGCGAACTTGACGACCGCCGTTGCTGGTGACGAACCGCCTTATTAGTTCGTTGTAGTCCCTTACTCAACCTGAGGTGAGTATGGCGACCTCAGTAAGTTAGCGTACTTCTGGGCATTCCTTTAGGAAGAGGGGAACTCATCTGAGCTTCGCGATAAACTTAATCGAATGTTCCTTTAAGGTCAGTGCTATTCGATGACAATCCAAAAGGCTCATCAAATACCAGAAGCGATGAGCTTAGTGCATAATGAAGAGAAAAGGACATGTTTTCTTAGTCGTTTCTCTCTTTACTCACATACCCTTGGTCGGATTAGGGTCTATGGTGAACTAAGAAGGGCGTTCGTTACCGGAAGCGGCGTTCATCAAGGTTGCCCTCTTTCGCTGTTCGTGGTCAATTTCGTCGTAGACCGATGTACAGCTGATGTTACTGCGCTTTTGCCATATGACTTCCGTTTTATGCTATGAAGCGCAAATCAACTACGGCGAAAGTTTCCGAAAAGCGGAGTTTTTTCTGTAATTTATAGTTAGTGGATGGATCAGGCCTTCCTTTCAAAACATGCATTTAGTGTAAAGAGACCTCAGCAAATTCAAGTATTTCTGTGAGATATTGCTAATTCTTTCACGGTATCCTTGTACCGTTGTTAAGTATCTTTTCAAGCGTGCGTTTCAATGTTAGAATTACGTAGGAAATCGCATTTGACTCAAAGGAATCCGTGTTAGTTGAGGAAATCACTGGCCCAGTGCAATTTACTCATCAGGATACTGAAGGCCTAGACTGAATCCACTCATGCAACTTTTCAACCATGGGATAGACTCAACTGGCTAATTGAGGCGTGGAGTACAATGCTTAATACCAAAATGAAGCTTCGAATTCTGGGGTTCCTTGAAAATTGCATTACTCGAGGGCGGTAAATAGATTGTGTCACGGGATAATTAGTTTTCGTAACAGTATCATCCACCTGATAATGACCATATTTTGAACAACTAACCTAAATTACCAATCTTCTTCTCGTAGCAACTATAACACAATAGCTTAATATTAAACCCACGGACTATTGTTGCCAACATAAACCTTCTTGACCATTGTATTGTTTCCAGTCCATTATTTTTCTATAAACTAACTGTTGCTTTCATAAAGTATGATCAAATAGGTCAGACTGCTCATTCAGATAGGGAATCCACATTTTGTTGTTTTCCATCTAAACAATCTGGATAAGAAATATGTCGAATTTATTTCATCTCATTATAGTGGTAATCGTGTCAACCATTGTCGTGCTTTATGAACATCCGTTGATACGATCTAATAACTGAGGTGACGTAATACCTAACCTGTGTTAAAATAATGGACTGGAAACAACCAAACAATCAAAGGGGGTTGTGTTGGCAACAATGGTCTGTTGGATTACTATTAGGCAACTGTGTTTTAGTTGCCGTAAGATAGAGGGACATCGACAAGTTCGGATTCTTGATCAAAAATATGGTAATCATTAGTGGATTAGTTTACCTACTTGATATGAACATCCTCAGAATTACCGCTTGACATTTACATCTTATTTTCGTGCTGTGGTATCCTGCAATAGAACGTAAGTGTAGTATACTACGAGCGTACGACAATGGTGATGACTGGTTGATGATCGCTGTATCACTGGGTGTGGAGAAAAGGACAGCGATGACATGGATAAGAAGACATCAAGAAGAACCGTGCATATTCTCCAGCGTTGAATCTGATCGAAATGATATGGAGCAGTACGAAAAGTTTCATCAAAACGGAGCTCTGAAATCAGCATGTAAAGATTATGACGGGTGATCCCGAGGGAAAAATGAACCAACAGGACTGGAGGATGGCATGTTTGGAAAGCATTGCTGGTGATGCCAAGTCTCATATCACGAAGGATCATTGTCAGCACGCAACTAACCATGTTCGTGTACGTTATCCGACAGCTATCAAAATGCTCGATTTTTAATACATTTGATCTTTGTCTAACCACTGAACTTTGTGAATGGGAGATATAAGTCGGAAAGTTCTATCATTATTGGAGTCGATAGGCCGGGTACATTAGATAGTTCGTAGACTTTAGGGCACATTTACAATTATAGTGTGTTGGTTATCCACTTTGCGTTCGTTGATAATTTAATACAGAACCAGTCCCTCGGTAGGCAGTGTTTTCCAGTGCACGTGGTGATCAAAGAAAAATCGAGACAGAAAGTTCATGCATCGTTCAAATCGAACGATCATGTAAAAGCAGTAGACTAGGTTGGGTAGGTCGACATTTTGCTGATCGTTAGGGTGTAA